GCCAACGGGAACCGGCTGCGCGCGGCCCCGCCGCCGCGGCCTGCCCCTCGCCGTCCTCCATCCCGCGGTCACCGAAACCCTCGCCGCCGACGAGACGAGCCTCCAAAGCCGCAGCGCCGCCGAGCCTGGCAGCATCGCCGCCTCGGCCTACGCGCCGTCGCCGCCGCCGCGGCTGCCTCCGAGGGGCGGGCGCAGCGTCAGGCATGGGCGAAGGCGACTCGGCGGCAGGGCCCCGGAGGTCCGCCACCGCCGCGCTCAGAAAGCCCTCCGCGGCGCGCGACAGGCGCAACCCCCTGGGGGGAGCGCCCAACTGCCAGCCCCGCGGCCGCGTGCGCCGCGAGGAGGGCTCCGCGGGCCGCCTCCTCGGCGTGGCGCAAGCCGTCGCCCTATGGCGTCAGCGCGCCCGGCATCGGCCACGCAGCGAGCGCGCCGACAGCGCGGACCAGCGGCGAAAGGCTTGTGCCAGACGGCTGCCGAGAAGAAGGAGGAGAAGGAGGAACGCACGCAGCCGAGGGGGCGCGTCCACGAGCTTAGGCGACGACCGAGGAGGGGCGCGCCGCGCGCGACCGAGCCCTCAGGCCCGCCTCCGGTGAACTCGCGATGGACGAAGCAGAGGCCCAGGCTGCGGGTCCGGGTGGCGCGTCGCGCTGGGCAGGCGTCTGGATAGCGGATGGGCCGGCACGCCCACGCAACGAAAATGTCACGAAATCCGGCTCCCACGGACGCGCCGACGCCGCGGCGGGCACTCGGCCAACGCAGAGTGACTTAGGGCCGCGAGCCGGATGCCCGAAGCCGCATCCAAAGGGGCCGACACGGCCGCGTTTGTCGAAGAACTTCTTGTGGAGTTGGTAGATGTGGAACGCGAGCGCGAGCCCGCGAAGAGCCGCGCCGCGGGGCCATTCGCTGGCATGCTCGGCCGCGCTGCCCAGCCCAAGACGGCCGAGCGGACCAGGCAGGAAGGAGCGCGGCAGCGCCACCCAGTGCCACAGCCTCCTGCACCAGAGGTAATGTCTACTGTCGCCCGCCGCGCCCTCGCACCCGAACAGGCAGGGTCGCAGTTCCATGATATGTACGCGGCCAGCCGTAGTCCACCCCCCCAGCGTCTTGAAGGTCGCCCCCTGCCACGATGGAGGCATCTGCACAATCAAACGGCGCAGCGCAGCCCAGCAGGGTTGCAGCGCGAGGGGCACGCCAAGTCCCCCGGCGTGAAGCCGCTTCCGTAGAGTCGCCACCACCGACTCGGGGTACAGCGCAGCGGACAAGGAACGCACGAAGGACGTCTGCAGCGTGGGCTTCCTCCCCAGCGGCGCTGCCACCCTCTGCTCCGCCTCCGCCGCGCTGCCAGGACCCGCAGCGCCCGAGTGGCCGGCTGGGCCTCCTCGGCCACCAAACCCGCGCATTCCTGGACGATGGCTCCGCGTAGAATCCAGAAAGGGCGGGGAGAAACCGCCCTCCCGCACTCGCAACCACGGGAGGTGCTCCTCGGCTGCCGCGGTGCGCCTGCCAGCCAGAAGCCGTCCTCGCGCCAGCCAGCCAGCCAGAGACCGCCTGCCTGCCAAGAGGAAGAGGGGGAGGGGGAGGAGGAGGAGGAGGAGGAGGAGGAGGAGGAGGAGGAGGAGGAGGAGGAGGAGGAGGAGGAGGAGGAGGAGGACGAGGAGGTCGAGGAGGAGGAGGAGGAGGAGGAGGAAGAGGAGGAGGAGGGGAAGAGGAAGGGGAAGAGGAGGAAGACGAGGAGGAGGAGGAAGAGGAAAACGGGGAGGGGAAGGTAAAGAAAAAGAAAAGGAGGAGAAGGAAGGGGAGGGTAGATGAGGATGATGATGATGATGATGATGATGATGATGATGATGATGATGATGATGATGATGATGATGATAATGCTGATGATGATGATGATGATGAGGAGGAGGAGGAGGAGGAGGAAAAGAAGAAGGACACATCGAACCGAATCGAAACGACCTCCCGGGGGCATTTAAGTCAGAATGTCCAGTTGTGAGAAGCCTGGGCCAGTCCTGGTGCCCCGACCCAGTTTATAATGACAAATCTGATTGCTACGACGCCCTGAGGACCCACCAGGGAACTTTGCTATTCCTGCCGTGCGTGCAGGAAAGAACTGCTATGGCGATCTGTGGCACTCTGCTGACAGGCTGAGAGGCCACCCCGCACCCACATGGCTGCAGAGAGAAATCCCTGCCTATATATGCAATCAGATGCAGCCCGCCCTCGGGACACAAAACGAGGGGCCACGAGTCGAAACCGACGGGGCCCGAAAGGACGCGAGAGAGCAGAAAAAGGGCAAAGAGGCAGAGACAAGGCCCCAGGGTGGACGGGGATGAAAGAGCTGAACAGAGTTAGGGATCGGCAGGAGGGCGGTCGCTTAAGCCGAGCTCACCAGGGGCCGCACTTACAAAATCGTTCACCCTCCCCCTCTCTGCGCAGGGCGCTTATTTCTGGCGCGGACCTGAAGCATCTGTGCGACCGTGGCCGTGGGAAATGCTTGCCTCAGAGCCGTCTAGCGGAACGATCCCGCTCCCAGCTAAAGTTAGCAAGCTCTGATTACATGTGGCAATCTGCACTCGCTGGATATGCGTGCGCCTCACCCTCATCCTCGCGCCTACGCCTTCACCTTTATTCCTTCGACTTCGCCTTGGAGGGCCCTCCCTCTAGCACCTCGAGGAGCTCCTGGGCCGCGCGCTCGAACGGCACGCGGGGAGCGGGCCCGTGCTCCTGGATGGCTCGGTGCGCGATCAGGTGCTGCACGTCCGCGCGCGACGAATGCATGGCCAACGAGATCTTGGCCATCTCCTCTTTGCCCTGCTTCAGCCTGGTCATCTTGCCCATGCAATATAGCACTTGCCCCAGCACGCGCGTCGCCTTGCAATGGGGGCCCCCGACGTTGCCCAGGTAATTCGCCGGCCCAACGGGCCAGAGGCGTGCTAAGATCTCAAGCAACTGGCCAACAATACTTCCAGCTCGCGCGCGTGGGGCGGCCCCTGGAAGTCCCCGGGCGAAAAATGCCCCGGCAAGGCCCCGGGCAGGTCCCAGGCGGTCCGACTCAGAGATGGTTTTCCTCCTGGGCGCCGCCCTCAAGGCCCTCCAGAGAGCCCCGAGATGGGCCGCGAGGCCGCCAAATGCCCCCCAAGATGGTTCACGAGTGCTCCGATATGCCACGCGCTCGCTTCAAGACGCCCAAGAAAGCCCCCCGACGCCACAAAAGGCCCCCAAGGGCTGTCCCAAGAGGGCCCCTAGATGCACAAATCGTCCCATTCCTTCGGTAAAACGTATATGTTTAGCACATTCGCCACTTGACCTCTCATAGCGTCAAGAGCGGCCCACGAGGCCACAAATATCGCCCCAAGACCGCCCAAGAGGCCCCCAAGAGGGCCCACAAACCGCACCAGAGGGCCCCAAGACGATCCGAGAGGCCTCCAAGACAGCCCAAGAGGCCCCCACGACGGCTCCAAGAAGGGGCCCAGACGGGAGACCCGCACACAGATTTTTCAAGCCCCCGGCCCCAAGAGGCCCCCAGGAGCGCCCAAGAGGCCCCCGGAAGCCTCCCAACAGGCCCCAAGTGGCCCCCAAGTGGCCCTAAGATGCCCCCTATCGAGGCCTTGTTTACTTCCCCGAACCTCCAGCAGATCCAGCGAGGAGGCCCGTCCGCCGCGCGCGGCGGCCGCCATCAGGCCTTGCGGGCCTCCAACAGCACGTGGCCCATCACGTCGTGCACGCGGCCTCGCTGGCAGTCGGCGCCGTCGACGCCGCTGGCGCGCCAAGCTCCTTGCCATCGCTCAGGAGGTTGGCCTGACTTCCCACTGGGTTGCGCGCCTCGCGCATGTCCGCGCGCGCGCGGCGTGAGATGCCCCCCTGCATCACCAGCGGGCAAATCCAGCACGTGGCGACGCTATCCTCCCGATGCCGAAGCTGGGCGGAGGAGCCCCCGTTCTGGCGATTTCCAGACTACCCGCGACGCTTTGGCAGCTGCATCTCGGTGGCCAGGGGCATCCCCGTCTGTGGGTGCTTGCCTGCCAGGACCCCGTCCCTCTTCTTCCTATTGGCGTCGTCTCTGCTGCTCGCACCCCGCCTAGATAGCGGGCCTGGGCGCGCGACTCCTAGCCCTGCCCTCCGCCTCGCTGCGTGCGCACCACACGCCGCGCACACCACGTAGGGCCCATGCACTTCCACTCGGTGTTCCCGCTCACGTAGCTCGTCCCCTGCCGCTGGGTCCCGTCTGTCCCGGTCGCCTGCGGCTGCCGCAGCTGCATCCGCTGCGGTGGCTGCCACCGCGAGGGCAACGTTTGCCCCCAACGATCTGGCCGCGCCTGTCGCCCTGCTCCCCGTCGATCTCCACAGCGGCACCGGGCACTCTGACTCCCGCAGCTTCTTCCTCATCCTCCTTGTCACCGCCCTTCGACCACATCTCAGGCATACCACCCACCCGTTCAATACCTCGACGTGGTGCCTGGTGAGCACTATCTGCGGCATGCAAACTTTGCGCGCTGGCCGTCTTTCTTCGCGTTTCGGTTCGTCTGGCCACTCTTTGCCATCTGCGGATGCCACCACCCTATGTTCTGTAACGCCCATCGCACTCGGCAAGCTAAGTCCTCCACATCCCGATGCTTCCCGAAGCTTGCGTCCAGCTCAGCCCCCGCTTTGGCTAGCAGGTCCACGTCGGTGTTGCCCCTTGCGATATTGAGCTCGTCTCCTTCCAGCTGCTCGATATTGGACCTGGATCTGTGCGCTTGAACGTGACGCACCTCGCTGACATTCAGGTCCATGCCGTGATCTTGTACCAGATTCGCTTCCAAATGTCCGTATGCGGCCTCTTCCAGCTCACGCACCGTCTTTCACCCTTTCGCAAGCCCTCCATGCTCCCTGCGTGATCCGTGCATATATTGCCGTCACCCAGTGTATGATCCAGTGCTTTGCAGAAGGCCCACATCTCTGCTCTTGTAACTTGCCCATGGACTGGGAGCGCGCACGGTAATGGCCCCCACGTCTGACACTTGGGCTTGCCCTCGTCGTTCACCGACATCGCCGCCCATCCAGTCAGGGCCCACCCACTGCATCCCAGTTTAGAGCCATCGCACACGACGTCCCCAATGAAGTGGTCATCTCCTTCCTCCACCACCTGGCACATGTACTGGCCCTCGTCGATCCCGATGAACGTCGAGTCCGCCTCTGGGTGCCTCACCACCCCTCTCGTCCAGAGCAAGTTGTTCTCCTGCTGCTCCGCCGCCGTCTGCCACCCAGGCTGCGCCTTCAAGCGCAGCCCCCGCAAGGCTGCACACTTGTAGTACATGTGATGTGAGGTACCCTCCGCCAAACCGCAGGCCATGCATATGTCCGTCGGCCCAATGCTGCACTGGCTCAGCTTGCTCATTGTCCAACTCCCGCTCACAGAGGCCTTCTTCGCTGCATTCCTGGCGTGCTTTGGGATATCGCGCGCCTCAGTAGTGCCACCGCAGGCGCCACCATTGGCGCAGGTCGCAAGCCCGCGCACTCGTCCGCCCTGGCCCAGTCCCCCCACAGCTGTCGTTCACGTCCATTCGCAGCATCGCCACCACATCCATCGGACACACCTCCCGCACGTCCAGGGTGTAGCCTGCCTTGGTGATGACTGTATGCCAGGCTGGCCACGACCTCTGCGCACGCCTCCGAGACATGATGGCTGCCCCCGCTGGCCCACGTACCTTCGCCCACACCGGCTTCATTCCGACCTCTTGCTGATGTCGCCTCCACGCCTTCATCGTCATGTTCTCCACGCTGTCCCACTGCTGGTTCACCTCGTTGGCCTGCGCCGTTTGCCAAACCTCCCTCGCCCAGCGAGTGATGGGCGCCTCCGTGACCTCAAGTGTGGGTTCCTCGCCTGCCAGGGCCAGCTGCAGCGTCAGGCTCTTGGCCCCCCGTCCTCCTGGTAGTGCCCGTCCTGCTTCGCGTCGTCGCTGCCGCAGCTGGTTATCTGGCATTCCCTCCCAAGCACTTCAATCCGCTCTTGAAGACTAGCGTAGCCCCTCTCGTCATCTTGCGGCCACCACCTTTCAGGTTCGCCAGCCTCCTGCCCCTGCCTCGCATGCCCTTGTACCGCTTCCCACTCTTCGTCTTCGCCGCCGTCCCGTGCGTGATGAGGTCCACTCCTACGTGCGGGCACGCTCTCAATACTGGTAGTCCTCTACGCGCCATGTCCTTCGCAACAGTTTTACGCAGCCACATCGCGCTCGCTGAAACAGCTCCTTTGCCTTGGCCCCCCACCGAGAACTGGAGGCCAACCTCGCTGAACTCGCAAAACACGCGTCGATGGTGTCGCCGAAGTCCTGCACGATATACTGCTGCTGCTGTCGCAAACGCACACCTAGGTCGTCCACATACATACGCCACTTTGCGCGCGGCCTCTCCACCACTGGGCCACCCACCGTCGAATGGATGGCCATACTCAGGAAGCACACAGGGAACTTGCTACCTGCTACGATCGTGGTCACTGTGCTGGTCTCGCTGGACACTGAACCCCGCACTATGAGCCTCCTTGCCATCGCGATGTACGAACACACCACCGCTAGCACTCCCGCGTTGGAAATCAGCTGCTTGCCCGCCTCCCACAGCACGTGCCAACTCACCCTTCCAACGGCGTCGACGAAGTCCAGCACTGCGGTGATGGTGGCCTCCAGCTCCTCACTCTCGTCGTCGGGATCGTCAATCTCATGACTGAGTAATACATCCCACGCCGCGTCCTCAGCTGCCTCCCCGTGGCTCGTGCAGCCCCGACTCCTCTGGTTCTCATTTGCCCACTTGATGATATACGGCCCTCTCCTGGCTTCCCGCGCGCGGATGGTGGTGGGCAGCAAACCAATCACGCTGTCGGTGGTGAGGGTCTTCGGAATTATGAAGAAGAAGAATGTGGCCATGTGGATCGGTCAGATCAGCGTGCGCTCCACCGCCCTGGGGATGTCCAGCAGTCTGCTGTAAGCCTCGCCGCATGCACCCTGCAGCATGGATGGATGCCACCGATCCACTCCAATTCCTGTGCGTCTCCTGAAAGTGCGCGCCGCCTCCTTCAACCTGTCCACATCCTCCTCCTTGAAGTCTTCAAGCCCCTGCCTGGGCTCCTGCTCCCATGGCCTCGGTTCCTCCTGCAACTCCCCCCTGGCCCTCCAGACGACCTTCCACTCCTTCAAGGTGTACCCCGCCGCATCTGATGGGTACGCTGCCTTCTCCAAGGTGTCTGCGCGCCTGGGACTCCACGCTGTAGCTGCCCTACTGAGCCCGTTAAAACTTCCTGCTGCTCCTGCTGTTGCTATCTCCGGCTCACCAGCCCACTTCGCCTTTCTCTCTCGCAGCAACCTCTGGTCTACATCTTTTATCTTGCACTCCGCCTCCAGCAACCAGCTCTGGAACTTTGTTTCCTCGCCCCCACTTCGCATCAACCTAGCCGCTATAATGCCACAGCGCGCCTGCCAGATACCCTGCCCCTCAGCGCTGGTGTACTTCATGCGCTTGGGCCTGACCTGTGACAACTTCTCCTGGCTACTGATTTCGAAGTGCCTCTTCTGCGCCATGTCTTGATCCTTCGCTTTCCTCCATCTCAGGTCGGCGCCTCGCAGTCCATGCAGGGATCGTGTTGACATCTGACTTAGCAGGCCTCCTGTTCCAGCACCCGCATATACTTGGCCCACGCTTTGTTGGTCTGCCCCTGCGTCTTGAACTCCTGCGCCCGCTCGTATCTCGGGGGTGCGGGCACACGTCCTATCTGCATCTCTGGTAACGCCTTGGGCTTCTCCAACACTCTGACCCTGCGCTCCACGGCCTGGAGCTCGATCGCGAGCCGGGCTGGCTCGCGCGGCGCCACTGGCCAGGATTCCTGCACTTCTACGTGCGGGGCCTGCGCCGGCACCGTGTCTGCCACCAAGACGCTGTCGATGTTGCTATTGCCGTAGGCATGCCTGCATGCGCCGCAACCCGCGCTGGGCGCCACCACCATTGATTGCCTGGGCCACTCTCACACGCTCGAACACCTCAGGCGCTATCTGGAAGTCACCCCCGATGATCCACGGTGCCCCCAGGCTCTGCAGCTTTCCGATCACGCGCACAATGAGCTGCGCGTTCCTGCGCGTCATGGCCCTCGGCCGCCCACAGGTACACAGTGGCGAACACCACGCCCTTCCCGATCGACAGCCACGCCGCTGTGGTCCTACCTGGGCTGCCCTTCGGCGATATGTCCCAGTCGTCCTTGCTGCGCAAGTAGGCCATGCCCACTCTCTTCGGCACCGCAAAGCCACCCCCGCCGATGTGCCTGCCTCTCCATTCTGCCCCGTGGCGGCCACCGCTGCCGCGCCGCCCGCGTGGCACCCCTGTGCCTTCATGCTCTGCGAGACCACCGCCAACTTGTCCGTGGTCAGGTGGTGCTCCTGCACTGCGTAGCATTGCAGCCGCCCCTGCAACTCTTCCATGATCTTCTCTACTATCGCGCCCCAGCCCGAGTCGCTATACGTCCACAACGTGACCGCGTCATGCTTGGGCTTCCTGACTCGATTGTCAGGAACGCTTCTGCTTCTTTGCTGCTTGCTCGGCCAGGCTGGCGCACACCTCCCACCATCGCTTCCGCTGTTCAGGTGTAGCTTCATCTGGTACTCCTCCTGCTTTGAGCCATTCTTGTTCTTCAACAGTGAGCTGTAGCCCGTCATCTTGCGCTGCTGCTGCCCGTGGCGCAGCTGCGCCTCGCCCTGCACCACGAGCATCAGGTGGATCACCGGGACTCCCCGCGTCCATATACATGTCCCCCTGCTTTGCATTGGCAAGGATTTTGCCCGGCACCGTGAGGACCTGCTCATATTCCTGCCTACTGATGCCGCCGCCTTCGACCGCACCTCCGAACTGCTTCTGCATGGCCGCAGGGAAGGCCGGGGATTCCCTGACCCCGTCCCGCACCTTAAGCTCCTGCTCCTTGGCCCTGGCAATCCCCAATTGCTCCTGCCTCCTCTCGAGCCTTGCCTCGGCCTCCTCCATCCGCTTCTCAAACCAGCTGACGTCGGTAGCCAAGGTCCCGGTCTCCTTCTCAAGCTTCTCTCTGGCGTAGCGCGCCTGCGCGAGCTGCGCCGCAGGCGCAACTGTGCCCGCTTGAAGAGCCGCGCCAAGTCCACCTGCGGCTCCTCGTCTGCGGGCTTCTCCTGATTGCCATCCTTGATTGCCCTGAGCTCTTCCCGCATGGCGCCCAGCTTCTTCTGCGCGGCTGCCCCCCGCTCGGTCGGGCCCAGCAGCGCCTGCTTGATGCCGCGGCGCCTCAGCCCCGCAGCCTCGGCGCTGCCTCCGCGTTGCAAAATTGCCCGGTGCCCCGCAGCTGCAGGGCCACTTGCCGCTGCCACTGCTCCCAGCACGCCGCGGCAGCCCCATGCCGGCATCGCGCGCCCGACCGCCGAGCGGTAAACCGCTCTGCTCGCCGCGGACCAGCGGCGCCCCTTTGTCCACAAGGGCGTTGCCCCCGCGAGTGGGACATATTGAACCAAGATGGCAACGGAAGATGCCCCCGCGAGGCCCTCAGGAGCCCCCCAAGAGGCCCCCAAGCGGCCCCAGGAGGCCCCCCAAATGCCCCCTCCAGCACGCAAGCAAGTGCCAGCGACGCTACAATATGGGCCGGCGAAATGAGCGAAGCGATTGAATAACTCTTGAGCTTCTCCGCGCCGGATGCTGAATGTCTCCGCGCCCCCCCAGTCCTCGAAGTAGACAGGCGAATGCGCGCGTGAACGGGGGGCCGAGCTCTTCCTGCGCATCGGGGTCGTCCATGGCGCTATTGGCGGCCTCGTGGCACCCCTTGCCCTGCTCCAGCATGGCCTTGACCGCGGGAGAGGCGCAGCTGATGAGGAGGGCGGTCCACAACATTCCAATGATCTATCGGATCTCGGCAACGCTCGTGAGCGACAGCCTGGCGAGGACGATGAGCAGCTCGGACACTGCATTGGCCTCTTTGGCGCATTGGCCGAGCAGGTCGCTAACGAGCCGCCTGGTCTTCTGCTGCGACTGATCTCCTCCGTCCTCCTGCGCTCGTTTCAGCCCTCATGTAAGCGCCGCCAAATCCAGCGCAACGTCGCACCGTTCGGTGGCGTCTGGGTTTCTCCGAGGAAGATTGTCGAGCGACGGTGAGTGGGTACGGATATGTTCCTGCAGCTGTTCGAAGGGTTTGAACCCTATGTTCGATCAGGATACAATCTGCCTCCATAGTATCTGGAAACGTCCACGCATCTCCCCCCCACCCCCCCACCCCCCTCGCAATTGTGGCCAGAAGGTGTCACTGCGCCGTTGTTTTATACACAGCTGAAGGTGACAAGGCAGAACGGGCAGACGTTTGCGGTGACAGCTCGGGTCCAAATCTCTCCAAAACCATGTTTGGCCATGTGGTTCTGCGTGACCCCCTTGTACGTTGTGAACGTCCACTAGAATTCTATCCCCGATTCATCCTTGAAGCCGCAGGGCCAGACATTCTCATTGGTAGTTTCATGAGCGCCGGCAAGTTCAGGAGGGGGAGGTTGAGCAGGAGTCCGACCAGGAAAGGGCACAACATCCATATGTACACCTCGGCGTAATACCGAACAATATTGCATAGCAGACTCGTGTTTCATCTCATCGTCCGTGAGCAGGTCGAGCCACCCCGTGCGAATCTGACTTCTTAGAAACCCGCCCTCATCATCAAGCCCTCCCACTCCTTGCAGCACATCCTCCCTCATCTGTATAGCCCAGGGGTTCAAATCGGTTCGAATTCTCTGTTTTCGATCGCCGGGTCCGCCCCGAAGGGGGAAGTGACCGAAGAGGAAGGTGCGGATCTGTCTTCTTTTCAACGGGTAGGCGATGAGGCGATGATGGCATGATCCTCTTGAGGAGCCGCCCCGCATCTCAAGCTTCGCGGGAGCCATGCGCCAATACCCCAAGACTTGCAACGTACTCTGGGAATGGTGCAGTATCGTGCATTCGCGGGTCTCCCTTCGTGGGCCTTACCTCCCATAGCACGTCGAGCGTATCTAGCAACAATATGATATATGTCAGTATGCCGCTTACCGAAACATAAGTAGGACCCGTTACCATGTAGTGAGGCGTTCTGTAAACACCATGTGGAAAGCGCGCGTTTAATTACACGCAGGGCGCATTTTGTCATTGGCCAAAAACTGCCGAAGGAATGAAACGCGGTCACCTCGGCGTTCTTCCGCTGCGCCAGCAAACTACAGTTGGCGCCAACCCTGACCCTTAGGTTACTAGGCCACATGCGAACCCTACCCCTCCCCCTCAAAAATCGTGGGGGGGGGGCGGGGGTAGAGGTCGCATGTGGCCCACTATGGGTAACGTGCAGTGGACCTGGGTGGGCGGGGCAGGGAGGGCGATGGCGCCCGTCCTCGAGGCTCGAGCCTGGAGCCAGGCCCCCACCCCCGAAAGCACAAGCAGCACGTCTTGTTTAGTCATGTTTTGCTTGCGCCCTATCTCGGCGAGGGCCCCGTCTTACAGGTGATTCGCTCGCTCGCTAATCGCAGCAAGTTCGTTCAACCCCTGATGGGGTCCTGCCAAAAAAAACTTCGAGGTATCATCAGCGTGCAGGCACAGAGAGGTGTCCACAGCCCAATCCAGAAAAGGATGCTGGGCCACGAGATCCTCCGTTCCCACCCCCCACGCCTCCATCCGTCTGGAGAGGGATGAGGAGGAGGAGGAGGAGGAGGAGGAGGAGGAGGAGGAGGGAGAGGAGAAGGAGGAGGAGGAAGAGGAGGAGAAGGAGGAGGAGGGGAGGAGAAAGTCACGATGAAAGACCCAGACCGCCGACGGTGTGCTTCTTGTCCACCCGCACTGCTTTCCCAATAATCTCGGCCCCATGGGCCCGCCCGCAAGCCCCACGGGACCCTCAGACCCAGATCCGTGACGGAGAGCTGCGCAGGGCGCCGCGGCCAGGGAAACAACATATCTATAAACACGTGGGCGTATATGTATATATATACATATATATTAAAAACGTAAGTGCGTCAGCTATATATATATATATATATATATGTGTGCGTATTGACTGGAGGAGGTCTGACAAGTGGGAAAAGAGGAATGGGGGAGGAGGAGGAAAAGGAGGAGGAGAAGGAGGATGAGGAGGAGCAGGAGAAGGACGAGGACGAAGACGAGGACGAAGACAAGGAGGAGGACGAGGAGGAGCAAATGGAGGAAATGGAGGAGGAAACCAAGGACGAGGAGGGAGGAGGAGGAGAAGTAGGAGGAGGAGAAGGAGGAGGAGGAGGAGGAGAAGGAGGAGGAGGAGGAGGAGGAGGGAGGAGGAACAACGAGGAGGAGGAGGAGGAAGGAGGAGGAGGAGGAAGGAGGAAGGATGAGGAAGGAGGACGAATAGAGAATGGATGAGGATTACTGAGGCAGATCGAGGATAAGGGGGGGCTGCGTCGACCTCGACCCCGAATCCAACAGCGAACAACGAGCAGGAGGGAAAGTCCGGAAAGGAGGGAGGACAACGGAAGGCGCATGGGCAAGGGAGGAAGGAGGGGGGAGGAGGAAGATGAGAGGACAGAGAGAAGGGGAGGAAGAGAACCGAAGAGGAGGGAGGAGGACAGGGGGGAGGGAGGAGGAGCAGGGAGGAGGCCCCAGGGGCGTCTCCAGGGGCACGAGAGGACGAGCTGGGACGAGGCCAGCGCGGGCGAGCGCCTCGGGACCAGGGCGGGGACGGGGGACCCGACGGCGACAGAGAGAGAGAGAGAGTCAGAGAGACAGAGACACAGAGACACAGGGAGACAGAGACACAGAGACACAGAGACACAGAGGCACAGAGACACAGAGACACAGAGACAGAGAGCAGGTCCGACAGACAGACACGACTCTCCGAGAGAAAGAGAGGGAGAGGGAGGGAGGTGTAAAGAGACGACACGGGGCAAGAACTGGAGATGCATAGCCGAGAGCACCGGGCGAAGGGAGGCGGGGGCAAGCGGAGAACGGCATGGCCAGGCGGTGGTGATAGACAGGGGGGCGAACAGGCGGAGGCAGACAACCACGGAGAGAGACAGACATACAGAGATTGACAAGGCTCTGACAGAGGCAGTGAGAGCCGGGCACCGTGCTTGTTGAGATGGGCATACAAGGATTACCACCCTGCCCTCTCGAGGTAGCGTAGGAGTGAGAGGGGGTAGGGAGAAGAGGGGGGGGAGGGGGAAGGAGGGAGGGCCTCCTCCTCTTCCTCCTCCTCCTTCATCCCGTCTCCTTGCGAATAACTCCTCACTGTCGTACCCCCCAGACTTGTTGGTAGGACGGGCTGGGCGTTTCGCCTGCTACCTCCTCACCTTTCACGATTCTGAAGCTTGAAATCCCAAACAGACTCAAGGATGGAAGGCGGGTGGTTTTCAAATTGTGGCTCTCGCTTAGCGCCGCGGCCATTACTTCTGAAAGTTTGCAAGAGCTTCAAACATGGAGGGCGGATCCTTTTCAACATGTGCCTCTCGCCCTAGCGCCAAGCGCATGTGTCGCAAAAAGGGTGCAACCGCTTCAAGCATGGAGGATAGGTCCTTTTCAAAGTGTGGCTCTCGAATTGGCGCCGAGCGCACTCGCCGTAAAAAGGTTGCAACAAGTTCAAGGATGGAGGGTTGGTCCGATTCGAATGTTCGCTCTCGCCTTCGCGCCGCGCACATTCGTCTTAAAAGTGTGCAGCAACTTCAAAGATTGAGGGCGGGTAGGATTTAAAGTGTGGTCCTCGCCTCAGCGCACCTCACATTCGTCTCAAAAGTGAGCAACAGCTTCAATGATGGAAGGCGGCTCCTCTTCAAAATGCGGCTCGCACCTGAGCGCCGCGCACATTCGTCCAACAGTTTGCAGCAGATTTAAGAACCCGTCGGGTTGAAACTATCCTGCCGAACGGCCCACCCAAATGCAGTTGTGAGCACCGCGGCTGTATCGTCTTTGGCGGAGCTCCCTATGGAGCGACGACTCGGGTGAAAAAGAATCGAAGTTGGTGCGGCAGAGCCATGCGAGCACTGCGACTGGGGCCGTTGGTGTAGCTCCTTCAGGGGCCACGAAACGTGTGAGGGGTGCGACGGTGGGCCATTCTGAATACAGTGGATGATGCGAGAGAAGCCACTGGGCCTTGGGTGGAGCTCCTTATGGGGCCTCGAAACGTGAGGGGTGTGCCGAAATGAATGGCGGGGACGCAAGCGAACGGTGCCACTGGGACCTTCACTGGCGATCCCTATGGAGCCACGAAGCGTGTGAGTGGTGCGCTGACCTGTGGCGGGGACGCATGCGAACTGCGCCACTGGAAACTTGGGTGG